CGTTTTCACGTTTGCAAATTGAATATTTTGTACAAAAAACGTCATTCCTTGCGTTTTTTTAATGAGCGTCAATGGATCACAGTCGCGGTTCCCGATTGTGCGTTTAAACGCGTTTTTCGAAAGTTTTGTATACCTGGGAACGTGTCCACAATTTCATCAAATATTCATCTGTTGCAACTTTATTTTTTGACGTTTTGGAGTTGGAGCACCCATGTCATCTCGTGTTCTTGCAATCAATGTTAACGCTTGCTCCTTTTTCAGTAAGTCAATGGCAATGAAGATGTTTGGATGTGGAGAATTTACGTGTTTTTTCATTCGAGAATGTCGACCTTCTAAATAATTAATTGTTCGCGGTGTTATATTACGATAATGGTTGTACATATGTGGTGGAAATTTACTGAATGGTCCATATGTATTATGATAATAATCAAGGAAGCCTTGAATATTTGGATATTCAGGTTGAGTACAGATTAGGCATTGCAAACCCTGCAACATATGATTTAATGGTATTAGTGGCAATGCTGCGAAAGACCTGAATCAATTACGAAGATTTTCGTTATCATTGTATGCTGTTTTCATCCCAAGATCAACGAACTTACGAAATAAACTTTGCCCAAAATGAAATAAACAACCACGAACAATCACACTTGGGTAATACTTAGTGAATGCATTGGAAACGCCTAATTCAAAATCAATTGTAATCGTTCGTAACCTAATAATCAAATGGAATTCAATCATTTTTCTAAATATTACTGAAAATAAATCAACATATATTTGTTCGGATTTACCACCAAGTAGCGCGAATATGCATGGTGTTGATAATCCGTCATAATATGCATGAATCGAATATATCTGATAGAAAATGGACGGACATGTATAAAACGTCCCATCACTGTACCAACGTTCTTGCTGTGATAAATAAACAATATCGTTATAGGTGGCAAAAAAAATAGCGAACGAGTACCACCAAGCAGCCCATCGTATAACAAAAACCATTCACCTTGAGCTGTTTTACAATAAACGTCTGGTAATGGGAACGGAAGTTGTTCGATTTTTTGAGGAACTGATGGTCGAGTTTTACGACGATGCTTTTGTAAAGTATTTTTCATTGTACGAATCGCAGGTAAATTAATAATTAAATCAGTAGATTGTGGCTGCGCATGAATCGTACGATATGCTTCTTCAACTATGCGATCTACTGGACTTGATTCTTCAATAATTTTACGTTTTAAATTTTTTCGCATTTCCAATACTTCTTTATCTGTTTCATCAGGTAAATGTGTATGCTCACCACGTACTACGACTGAGAAATCTGCATAACTTGTTGCTGTTGCATTACATTTTACACATATCCAATACTCGGAACCATTTTGATTTTTGTGTTTCGCAAAATATCGATAACCAAGATAACATAAGTGTTTTTTGCCATGTGTAGATTCAACGAATTTAGAGGACATTTTTTAAACAATACGCGACAGAGTTGGGTATCCATAACTTTATATACATTCTTTTACAAAGACGATTAAATTGACAACCACTTTGGTCTTCAAATTAATGAGCACTGCTCATTTATAACTGAAAATTCAGTTAATCGTTCGCTTATTGATGAATGCTCCTTTCGATTAGAAAATTTATTAGAATTTGTTCTGACAACATATTGACGGTGCATCTGCTCATTTCTTTGCGTCTAAACAATCAGCGTCAAGTAAATCCTCATACAAAAAAAAACTAATTGGAATCCATTTTTATTTAATCAACGTCAAGTAAATTATCAGCAACGAACATAAATCTTTTTCGCTAAAAAAACCAATTAAATTCGAAAAACAATCAACTTCAAGTAAGTCCGTATCAAGTAAATCGTGTACACGCATAAGATTATGTTGAGCATGATGAGTGATAGACAAACGATATGGTAATTAGTAATAGATGAAAATGTAAGAAGAAAGGGTAACATATGAGGTAACATCGAATGATGTAATAAGTTAGAACAGCAAATAGAAACAATCAATCTAAACAACAGTGACAGTATATAATGATGCATAGCACGCTCAACCGGAGTTGTCACACAGATATTTAACTATTAAACATCAAACGATATGTAATGAAAAACGCAAAAGTCAATGAAAAATAGTAATAAATGTTCTTTCAAAGATGCTCTAGTTATAGCTATGAAATGTGTATTACAATGGCAAAACAGCTGAAATCAAATAGTGATATCAATAGAAAAATTCTAAATATTGTAACCATTCATATTATTTGTTGTTTATGAGTAAGAATAAAAGTTTCATTAATGTTATTTACGAGAGAAGTTTTCCTACTCTCCAATCGCTTTTGAATTGGAACTATATGCATCATGTAAATTCTAATAAACTATGATATATCCTAGAGACGGCTCAGATTGCTATCGAGATACTACATTTGTAAAGTATTTTTAAGCACAGTGCCGTAATTTTTCTCAGGAAGATCGAAGAGAAATGAGTTTTGACTAGAAAACTTTGCTCAGAAACAGCTTTCAATGAGAATAAGTTATAGTGAAAATTTCCAATATTCTGATTCTAAGGTATAGCTGTGATAAGATCATATTCTTTACATGATTTCATATATACCGATAGATTCTGATTTTCTTATCTCAGCATGAGAACAGAAAACAAGTCTAAAAC